CACACCCTTATCTACTAAACTTTTTTATTTATCGAACGTGTATTCAGTTATTCATATCTATATTTACTCTCTCTTTGTATATGTATCATAAATTTATAATAAAAATTGTTTGGGCTTTGGCTTTCTCGAAATTCGATTTTATAGATCGGAGTTGTAATTTGGAGTTGAAGTTGAAGTGGAATTTTTAAAAACTGATGGAGTTGGAGCGAAGTTGGAGTGGCTTACCCCCGGAGTTGCCCATCTCTGTTGTAATCTAAAGAAATCTTTCCAAAAATTTGTGAAGAAAAAAACAAACTTCTCTTCTCATTGCAGTTTCTAAGAAAATCACATTTCTGTTGAATAGTAGATCATATTTTATTTGTAGATAAATGATGCTCGTAAATCAAATATGAAATTGATCATTCTCAAAAAAGAAATGGATTCATAATTTCTATAAAGAGAATGATAAATTAATTAAATAAATAAATACAGCATAAGAATTTTCGAAAAAAAGAAGATTGATATCATAATGCAGTTTACAGTTAAATAAGCAGAAGTAGCAATGAATAAAGAAGTGGTTTATAACATGAATTTTTATCAGTCAATTCATAGAATGAAAATGTATCATAATAAATGCTCATCAATATAACTCAGCAGTATTCAAGTAACCATAACTACTGATTCCACCTGTAACTAACACTGTTCCATTTGCTAAGACGGATGCTGTGTACAAACATCGTGCATAACTCATATTTCTTGTTGTTGTCCAAGTGTCTGTTGATGGATTATATAATTCCGCAGTGTTCAAGTAACCACCACTACTGACTCCACCTGTAACTAACGCTATTCCATTGGCTAAGACGGATGCTGTGTGATATATACGTGCATAACTCATACCTCCTGTTGTTGTCCAAGTACCTGTTGATGGATTATATAATTCAGCGTTGTTCAAGTAACTAGTACCATTGTTTCCACCTGTAACTAACACTGTTCCATTGACTAAGACGGATGCTGTGTGGCGGTATCGTGCATAACTCATATTTCTTGTTGTTGTCCAAGTACCTGTTGATGGATTATATAATTCAGCAGTGTTCCAGTAACTGACACC